GTGTGTGTGTGTGTGTGTGTGTGTGTGTGTGTGTGTGTGTGTGTGTGTGTGCGTGCGCGCATGTGCGCGTGCGCATGCGCATGCATGGAGCACGAGATGCAGGCGTGAAGGTAGGCGAGCAGTCAGTTGTTATCGGGCCCAGGTTGGCCCCCGATGCAACAGAAAACCCTTGAAAAACAAACAGATCCCTCTCCCAAGGCTCCAATACGCCCCTATCTGTTTGCCGGCACGCTCCCCTCCTGGCCGTGGGGCGCACGAGCCTGCCCCGCACACGCACCTCCCACTCCGCGACGGCCCCCGGCTCCAGCCGCCACTTGCGGTCCTCTTCCGTGAGGCTCTCGCTGTTGCCAATGCCCGCACCCTCAGGCAGCTCGCCCGCGGCGCCCTCGTCGCCGCCGCCGCCGCCCTTGCCGAAGCCCTTGACACTGCTCGGGGGCGGGTTTGGGGGGTGAAGCAGGCGGGCGCGAGGGCACCATTTGTCCGGTGCATGGGGTGCAACTGGGGAAGTTTGCGGCCGCGTTGTTCGACGCCCGACTTGTTTGCAATCCCAACGCAGCCGCTGTGCGAAGCCAGCGGCAGCGGGTGATCATGCGGTGCAGGCCGAGCGGAGAAGCGCAGCCACCCAAACCGCGGCGCGGTTGGGGTGGGGCGGGCTGGCTCGCCCCTCACTTGGACGACTTCTGCTGCAGCTCCTTCTTCAGCGCCTTGAGCTTTGCATTGGGGTCGTCAGTGTACACCACAGGGACCACTGAGGGGTGGAGGGGTTGGGAGGTGAAGGGGACGGGGGTGAATGAGCAGGGGGCCAGGCGTGTGATTCTGGGGCGGAGGGGCGGGTGAGAATCTGCAAGGTGCGGGTGACTCGGATGCACGGGTGGTCGCTGGCAATGCGGGTGCAGAGGAAGCTTCCGCTCGGGTCGGGGCCAGTGGGGGGCGGCACCCTCGGGCGGTTGGGCGCGGCCCGCGGCGGGCAGCAGCCAGAGCTGCGCCCAGCCCCTCGCAGCCGCAACGTGCGCGCCGGCATGCTCGCCCCACGCTGGCGGCAGCCGGGTGGGGAGCGGGGCGGCCCACGCGACGCGCGACGCGGCCGCACCTGAGACGCCGCGCGCCCTGAGGGTGGCCTGGTAGGGCTCTGCCGCCTTGACTGACCGCTCCACGAAAGACCTGTGGGGGGGTCGTTTGTGTGTGTGTGTGTGTGTGTGTGTGTGTGCGTGCGTGCGTGTAAGTGTGTGTGTGTGTGTGTGTGTGTGTGTGGACATGTGTGTGTGCGCGCGTGCGTGTGTGTGTGTTTTAGGGGGGGGCGCTGTGTGCTAACATGCAAAGAGCCATGCCTCGACAGAGCCCGTCCTGGCGAGGGCCCCATCACCAGGAAAAGTAACCCCGCACCTGTCCCCTGCCACGATGACGGGACGCACTACACCGCGGAAACGGATGAGCGGCAGGGCGCGCTCGGGGCCCAGCTTGACCTGGGGGGGGGGCGGGGTGGGGCATATCAGGTTGTTTGTGCCAGTGTCAATCTTTGTGTGCACGTGTGTGCGTGTGTGCGTGCATGTTTGAATGTGTGTGAGCATGCGTGTATGTGTGTGTGTGTGCGTGCGAGTGTGTGAGTGTGTGCGCGTGTGCGTGTGTGTGTGAGTGTTGTGCTGGTTTGGAAGAAGGGGTGGAGCCAGCCTGCTTGACCTGGAAAAACAGCTGCGCCGACCGAGCCGCTGACAGACATGCGCCGCCCGGGTCATCGCCGCCGCTGGTGAGCGAACCCCGAAACGTCCTGCCCGTGCCGGCGGGGG